AGGCTAACAATGATCGTGAGCTATTCATCTTTGTAATCTTTCGATTCCAGGCGAGTGGCTTCCTTGCATTCACGCATGTCGCATCGACAGCGCAGACATGGCAGGCTAGAAGCAGAGCTCTTTGAGCAAAATTCTGTTCCACTTGTTTCCACGAAGCTTATCGTATGTCTACCGTTGAGGACCACAATCAGTCACAGCATTTCACCACTTCCACCGTTAGTGTGTTGCCAGGGAATAGTTGCGGCAGAGGCCAACGAGCGTATGTAACGCGTTAATAATGACGAAATGTTGTTTGCATCGTAGTTTACCGAAACATAGTGATTACCTAAATCACCATTTCGTCAGAGGTGGCGACTCAGCCAATTACCTAGCGTATTACATGAGTTAGCAAGCTGCCTTTCAAGCCACCTGCGTTTGCTATTACGTCTCTTAATAGCAAGATGTGCCTCAAGTCCCACTTGAGGTGAATGTGATGAGATCGGTTGTTATTCCGAAACTGCATCAGTGAGCATAATTGTTGAGTCGTCGGCAAGACAAGGAGATAGCGTAAGCGTTGCAACATAAATATTCCCAAACCACACCTCATCATCACGGTTCTGTTTACCACTTGTTAATTATTTGCGACGTTTAATAGCCGTCCTTTTCATCTAGGCGCTTCTTAATGTACGTGTGCGATCGAGATAGATTTGCATCACCATCTCCAACCTGGGCGTACATGTTCTCACAGTTGCCGTCGAGTGCAAACCACAACCAGAGGACAGTTTATTCAGAAAATCAACACCAAACGCGCTGTTAAACTTTGTCACGACAAGTACGACCAAAATCTGCTAATGCGTTTACTTCATGCTGCTGTTCTTGTACATATGGGTATACGGTGATTCATTCGTGACTTTGCTACGGTTCTTCGAGATGGCCGTAGTTATAGCCGTCGTCATCCCTCCAGTGTGGCAAGTCGTAGTACGCCACCGGCACTCTGCCGAAACGCAGCAGCAGCTTGCGGTCGTCGCGTTTGCCGAATCGCAACAGCATGTCAGACTTTTTAATGTTACCCGGGTACCCATTGCTCGAAACGACCTTCATGTTTCCGTTACCGTAGCCATGGAAAGCGAGAGCTGAAATACATCAAGCTAGCGTAAGCGCGGCGGGTACAAGCCGCAGCAGACTTCAGCGATGAGGTACAACTTACCGTTCTGCGGAATCATGTTCGGCAGGGCGGCCAGCTGCATTGTCAGCATAACGAGGCAAAGGGTGACCGTAGTCAACAACATCATGTTCGGTACAGCGGCCCCGGCGTTTCAGTAGAGCAGGCAAACAGTGGCAGACGCTAACGCCGATGTCAGATGCGAATGCGAATGCGAATATGGGTGGACGTGTGGAGGTAGACGGTCACGTAGCCCGTAGAAATCGACTGCGACAGCGATGCAGACCTTTCCTCACGACCGACCGATCGCCAGACGAAGCGCTTCTGAGTAACAGCACCTGAACACGTCGGCCGGATTAAATACGGTCGTCGGTGGCGTCAGTCGATGAAATATGCGGGCAGCGAGATGGTTATTATTGAATTAATCATGAAATTATTTAGCCCGTCCCTTAATCTGATTGGACAAGGAGGCGAATCGACCACGTAGTTGGTAGCTGTTAACAAGATCGTGCGGCATTCGATCCGATCACACGACAGTTCGGTAGCGCTAGAGGCCAGCTCCGGCACAGGTTCGCCTAGTCGATTAATGACGTCGTACGGTGGCCCTGACGGTTTGCGTGTCGTGGCTGCTGTTACGTAGCACTGATCGTCATTGACCGCACGATGCGCCGGTGCCACCTCGTTTAGTGTTCAACGACCGGATGCGCTTGACTCTGCCCAAGGACGAGGCTTCTGTCTTTTAAGCCCCAATGCCTCACGTCCACAAACAATGGTATGCGCGACCGATCCGTGACTGACATGGAACCCGCATCGAATTGAGACGGATCAAGACTTGGCCGCTGAGCGTTTGGCATGATGATGCGGTCGATATATCGCCCCGAGTAGTCGCTGCAATAAACGCTATTAATAATTGCTCTGAAAGACGACGCCCTTCTCCTACGGTTGTCTCCTTCCCAAGTACATACTCAGCATTACTGTGAAACTCGGTGAGAGAGACGATGATTAACGACACACTAAGTGCTCTTCGCCATTTCCTCCACCTCAGTGGATGAGGCCAGCTTTAAGTCACACAGCAAAATCGTCGTTCCTTTGACTGCATATAACTGGCCTGTCACTTATGAAGACTCTGGCCGTAATAATTTTTCAAAGTTATGAACGAGCAACAAGTGTTACGCCGGCTGGTCAAATTGTCCTAAAACTTTAGGCTGTTCTCGTTAGTGTAAACGCATTGCTGTCTGCGGTTAAACGACATACCGCCTACTCCGTGACGGTTCCATTTGCTGGTTTGAAGCCGTTCAGCATTCTAGACGAATAATGAGCTTCGCAGTGATCGTTGGGACCGTCGGGGTCACTCAAAAAAGTTTTTCTGGTCAGCCGTGCAGCCTGACGAAATAGGTTCGGTGTTCCCCCAGAGGGCCAGTCGTTAAATTAGGCAGTTGTTAATTAAATTTTATTAATTAGCGCTACACTATGCCTTGTCAGTGAATGTGCCTGTTAGCGCTGCAGCTCGGCTCAATTATCAGTCGTACTTGACGATACGAGCCCCAGGCGTTTTACGCTTTTAACAAGACTAGCAGTCGCAAAAACATAACGACTTCTGAAATAAACAGATAATATTTGTATGTGCATACTGTCGAAACTCACCACGCTCGTTGCCTGCAATCGCTCAACGAAATTTTAGAATCGCCACGTTTAAATAGCAAATTTGGCTGATTTATCGACAGTTTTTCTTCAGAGTGTGCGGCACCATCCGTGGTCATTTGTAGTCATTTTTGGCGGCTGTTTCCTTTTGACTTCTGATTCATAACAGTGCGTAGACCATGCATGATAAAGCAAATAACGATAAGGCGAATTCATCCCTGCTGCAGCTGAAGCGGTCAGTTAATGACTGTCTACGAGCCAAAGGGATTATCGTAAACCGAGCGTCGTACGGTCTTTTGAAAATCGACTTCCCGAGAATTGATGATCATTTGCTTAATTTCATTTATTTCACGAATTTTGCGTTTGGACCGATTACGGTAGAATACCAAGTGGACCACGATATCACTTTATTATTTAAAATGCTATTTGCCCGAACGGCAACATCACGCAAAAGTTTGGGAAAGTAATTTGTGGGAATGCATAACAGCGCGAAAACTGTACTACGGTAAAATGGTGCTTAGTTGAAACCGCATATATCACTGTAAATGGGATTCAAATTGCGTTTCTTTTCTGACTTCGCTTATGCGATTCTTTGCAGCTTCGTAAAGCCGGCCAGTGCTTCACTGTTGCAGGGTTTATTCCGGATATATTTGCTTGATTAGCTTGATCAATCTGTATAAGGAGTCACCAAGATTGTGTCCGTCACAACACCTCCTCAGTTCGTCTCTCATCCTTGTCCAATTTCCCACAATGGCCATTGTACGCCAAAAATAAAATCCTTCAATTTTCATCTCTTGCAGAGCAAATTTTTACAGTCCTCGCGGGTTGCACTTGATGATGACCATTCTCCATTAGCAGTGAGCAAGCCGAGCTGCGTGCAAGCAACAACGCATTGTGCTTTCTCTGTTTTTCACCTCTTTCTTCCGACGGATTTCTGTTCTGTAAGTCTAATTGAAAATGAATTTCACTGCAGGTGCAAGACTCCATCTTTAGATTAAGACAATTTAGAAATTGTTCTTGTTTCTACGCTGAATATCAATGGTAAACAGAAATCAGCCATAGAAAGAAAACGGCGAACGCAACTTTTGAAACGCAACGATGGAAGAAACCTTAGGTTTTTGGTTTGCTGGCAAATGAATTTGTCCATTAGAAACTTAAATCCCCTCATTATGATAATGAAGCGCATCAGAAATGACTATCAGTATTGACAAATTACTACCAGTACCACTAAAATTGAACAATGGTATTGCATATTTAGAGAATATGGTTGTGACAACCGCAGCGTTAACTCTGTTTTCATTCACCTCGCAACATGGCTGGAATCCATTATGGTAATGGTACCACAAACCTAAACACAGTAGAATGCTAATTCACAATTGCGATTTCATTTATTCAGGGTGTATCACAGGAACTCTGTCTTTTTCAGTTAAGCATGCACTCAAGATTCCCTATTATACAATGATTCGACATTAGACCTTTGGAAGAAGCCTATAATGCAGTGTGTAAAATGATCTGCAATTTTTGTAATAATATGTGTGTCACAAATCACTCAGGATTCTTAAGTTGCGGTTGACGGAATACATCAGAGCTACTGTGAGAGTCACGAAGAGCATTCAGACATTGTTATCCACTTCTAATCATGGATTTAATGCAATCGACGATGTCATTAACCATGTTGATGAAAACAAAATTAGTAAATTAAAGAATCGCTGCATATCTTTGCTACTGAAACAGAGTATTCAATGGATGAAGTGAAGTGATATTCTTGATGAAGTGAAGGCCTGGAAGTGATGCAGAAGCCTGCTCCGGCATGATGAGGCAAATGAGGCTCACTGCTCGTCATTAAAGTATGCCGATGATCGAACTCACACAAAGTGATGCACTTTCTCTAAATCCGATGAAGGTTGGGAAACATCGCCAATAGTTCACGGTGGTCGACACCCAGAACAGACTGCCAGACAAACACTCGAAAAATATGCTCAAGAAGAAAGAGAATTGGAGGAGTGCCGGCTTGCATTCGTGGCAAAGATGAGACTGACGAGAATACATATTAGACAAACCGTTTAATGCATTGTCTGCTGCAGCTGATGATTCATAACTTATTTAAATTTTTATGCATTGTAGCATTGTTGTTTCTACCTGAGTGATCTTGAAAACACGTACACTTACACTTACACTGGATTGTTTGCAATGCTTCTGCTCAACGTTTGCTCAAATGATAGAAAACGTGATTGTTATATGAAATGATGACACATAACGGACTTTCGACAGACATTGGCTCTGAAGTTGTATGAATTTGAAAAAAGTGGAAGCTGCTATTACGTATTTAGTGAGCAAACCGCTGTTATAGCGACAAGCATCAATTAGGTCAGCTGGGGTAAGTCCAGCAAACAATTGGTTGGGTAGTGAAGTTTGAAACGCGTCGGGTAGCTGATGAAAGAAATCTTGGATCAAGGCAAGAAAACGACAGGTAGAAGGGAGAATTATAGAAATGGCATTTAATTGAAGACAAAAGTGTTTGGGGAATCTTTTCAAGGATCCCCAATACGTTATTCTTAAAAATTATCGCTCGATCATCGGCAATGGAAACCATTGTCTATATGCTGTAATTTAAAAATGGATGCTAATTTCAGATTCAGACATTTCATATTGCTCACGAAAGCGTCAAGGTAAATTTTGCTCACTGTAGGATTAGATTAAGCGAGAAGCGAACAAAACATGAATAAGGTAGTATTAATTTTTATCGCAAAGTGAAGCAACATTAGGTCTGATGACTGTGCAGGTGATGGAAAGGCAAAACAAGCTGTATCGCAGGTGGTGAAACTAATTTCGACAATATTAATTGGCTTTAAATGAAAACAACGTGCTGAGAGGAAGATGATGAAAATGAGTAAGATTCAGCCATTCGCTATGTTTATATCTGGTCAGTACTAAGCTGTCGACACTGCGCCAAGTTTGCGGAAGGCCACCCTCGATCAAAGTAGAGAACAAAGCCCCTCTGCGTACAGTATATTCTGTCTGATCGTTAATTTTGCTGCATAACTTTAATAAACTTCAAAATTGCTTGCTCTCGATGAAGTCATAAACGAGGATCACAAATATTCCATGCCTTAAAGAAGATATCAAACGTGTATATGCTGTAAATCCCCCATTAGATAACTGAGAGTGATTGGCTGTAAACTCCCAAAAAACAGTTGAATTAATCAGGCGAAATATTATTGCGTAGAGAATGGCATCCTTAGAAATAATTCGAGTTTCCGTGTCTCTGCCTGAAATGAAGCAGAAACAACACCTAAAACGTCTTTGTACCACTCTCGTTCGAACACTTCCTTTCAAGGAACATCTGTGTTAGCGTGCGGCAAGTGTTGTGCGGTAAGTGACCATGATCAACGTCATACAGATGCTTGGTGATACTACTTTGGGTTCAGAAGTCAGCATCCTTCGCATCGATGGACTCTCCATAGCCTTTTCTGCGACATAATATTTTGT